TTCTACGTTTAAATATAAGTCACCTTAAACGCATAATACCAGTTTACGATGAACTAGTAGACAGAAGTAAATAATATGTATATATTTAGGTTTATTTAAATTAAAAGCTTATAGATATATTTATTGACATTACATCCATATTTTTTTAATTATATTACCTGTAATATTTATAACAAATTCCTCATACACATGGAACTATTTTTAGATGGCGGATGGAGGATGACGTACTAGCGGTACGGTCTTTTCTCATTTCTACTCATGCGTGTGTGTAGTATTATTGTTCAGTGTAGGGAATGCTTTGTGGGAGCAGGTTCATCGGTTCGTCCATTTTGATTTGTGTACACGTTTTGTGCATATTACTTTGGCGTCCTGGCTTTTACGATGTTGATTAAAAGCATAGGTAAGTTTCTATTCATGTTTTAATTTAGCTACTCCTTTAATAATTGTTGCATTTTACAACAACTACTGTTTTATAGGTACGTACAGTGTGTTAAATGCTTAAAAAACATAACCTTACTTTTGTTTCTTTTATTTTTATACGTATTTTTTGGGTTACCTAGTTATTCCAAGCATACTTATTTTCCTTTTTTTTTTGGTCAGTTGTTTTTTAATAAAATGTCTAAAATAACCCTGTCTCTACGTCATCTACGTAGAAAAATAGCGCGAAATGTTCAAGATGCTTTAAAGTCAAATTAATTTTTTTTATTCCCAATACAGCTTCGGACATTAATATATCATCTGATTCTAATATTTATAATAATTTCCAAGAAAATAATACAAATTTAACTTCGGAGCTTTTAGAAAATATTTCAACTGAAATTGAGTTACATTTTGGTTATAGGAATTGAGGTGAACCAAGCGACTTAACCGACCGAACGATTAGGTGTGCCATGCAAGATTAGCTTAAGTTAGCTAAGGCCCGTCTAGGACACAACACATCCAAAGTGTTAAGCTAAGATTTTTATTTTCATATATATTTTTTGTTAGTTAAAGAAAAGTTTAATTTAGTTTGTTATTCAGTATTTTAGTGTTTATTTTTTTTGTATTTATTTATTTTTTAGTATTTTATTGTTTATTTTTTTTTTAATTAAATATTGTTCTGTATATATAACAAGTGATCAAAAAAATTTTCTAAATATTTATGCCAATTACAACCAAAATAGAAACATGAGTAATGCCTATTTCTGGTGTATACACACCTGCTATGGATACAATCCAAACTATCATTTAAGAAATATTAACATTTTTCCATGGCCTCTTTTAGAAATTTTGTTTTGATTACTTTATTTAATTTGTGTTTGAAATACCTTTAAAACAATATCATATAGACGCATTTTACACATTAATAAAAATCATACAAATATATCTAATATAGACTTATAGTAAAACAGAATAATTAAAGGTAGATAAAGTAGTAATGTTAGACGTATAAAAAATAAAAAAAATATACGTTTATAGGGCGGACATTTTCACGTATATATTGGGTAGCATATCAACAGTATCCATACGTATATTGTAGTACATAAAAAAGCGTATTTTATACCAAAGTGAATTCGTATAAATATACTACAACTATAAATCTAATATAGACGTATAGTAAAAACGTTTAATTATATGTGGATAAATTATTAGAAATCGACGTTTATAAGGCGGACATTTTCACGAATATATTTGGTAGTACATCAACCGTATTCATACGTATGGTAGTACCTAAAAAAACACGTAATTTATACCAAAGTGTGCTGCCTGGGGATATCAGTCGTAGAAAAACTCTTTTTCACATTTCACATCTCGGACTACCACAAAAAATTACTACCGACAGTGGAACAGAATTAAAAAATTTCGATTTAGAAGATTTTTGTAAACTACACCATATCCAACTATATATCACTACTGCAAAAAAATAATAATTCAAATTCCACAGTGGAACGGTTTCATTCAAGTCTATTAGAACATTATAGATGTTTACAAGAAGAAAACAAACATTTCACACCAGATCGACTAATTAAAAAATCTGTATTTTGTTATAATAATATTCAGTGATAAAGTTTACGCCATTTAAAATAATTAAAGGACACATTGATAATCCAAATCCCTTTGATTTGGACGATCGCTTAATAATTTCTAATTATGTACAAGATCAAATTAGTAAACAGATGTATAACAAAATTAAACAACGTAACGAAGAAGTAAAAGAAAATTTAATAAACAAACTAAATAAAAAGAGATCTGAACTAGACAACTATTCCAATCAAAATTCATGTTTTGTCAATACAAAATCAAGCAGTAAAAAATTACTAAAATTTAAAAAAGCAAATTTCATTGAAGATAAAGGTATTTTAATAAAAACGGATAAGAGAACTTATAATAAAAATATTGTTAGAAGATCAAAAAATAATTTATAAAAATTGTTACAGGATACCAACGAAAATGAAATCCATTTTGATAACGACGCTGTTCCAAGTACAAGTTCTACAAGTCATTTATGTATACCAAATACATAGTACATCTTCCTATATACAGATCACTCCGATTGAAAATTTTATGCTTCCTATTCAGTTAGGAAACGCTAAACTTATATATTTCAAACATACATTTTTACATTATTTAGATTTAGAAAAAGTAGTTAAATAAGTTAATAATTTAGTTAATTATTTTGAATCGATAAAACATAGTATAGTTTATGTTAATGCAACTAATCCTATATCTTATCATAGCTTATCGCAAAATATGTTAACAAGAACAGAATATCTAATAATTACTCTTCAGAAAAAGATTAATAATTTAATTCCTCATGTAAGACATAAAAGAGCTCTAATAATAAATGCAATTGGAAAAATTAACAAATGGGTATTTGGAAATATTGATTCTGATGACGAAGAAAGATATTAATACTATCAAAACATTACAAGTAAATCAAAAAAATATTATCAGTGAAACAAATCTTCAAATTTCGTTGTACAAAAGGCTTGCTAATCATTATAATAAATCAATCACAATCTTAAGCATAATTCAAGAAAAACTTAAAGTTGATATGTAAAAAATTCAAGCAGCTATTTATAATAGAATCGATATACTTGAAAGTTATATTAGTTTTCAGGCTATTATATCACAAATTGATTTAGATTGTCAAATGGCAATTTACTTTATAGATAATTTAGAAAATGCCATAAACTTTGCAAAATTTGCAAAAAACATTATAAAATATTTACATAAATATATAATGTTGATCAAATTCCGTAATTTACAAATTTATTAACGTATTATCAGTTCTTAGGAACGCAAGTATCAATTTCAGAATCTAAGTTAATTTTTGCAATACGAGTACATTTTCCTATTTTTAACAGCAATACCTTTGAATTTTATCATTTATTCCCAATTATCCAAAACCAAAAAATATATACACCTTTATTCCCCTATTTGGCACGAAAACATCAAGATATACAGTTTGAACGAGAAGAATGTCCATCCCTTGAAGAAATGTATTATTGTCTACAGAATTTCATCCCCAGAGATAATAGTATTCACCAACTTCTTGAAAGAAAAACTTTGACAAATTGTAATATTTTAAATGCTAATTTAGAAGAATCAGTATTCGAATAAATCGCAGTCGATGAAGTCTTAATAATCACGTCAAAACCTGAACAAATTCTTTCAAAATGTAACAGTAACCAGTATATCTACATAGGGTCACATGTATTAATCAAAATACCAAAATCTTGTGAAATTTGGACCAACGAAAGAAGATATATCAACAACATTCAATTGAGCAGGAAAGCCTTTCATTCTACCAAAGCTCGACATGAAGAAAATTTCAAAACTTCAAAATCTTATCAATTTTCTTATACCTATACTAAATTAGATTTTAATGATTTATATGAAATTAATCAAATTTCTAAACAATTAAGGGCAATTAAAGAAATTCAAAATAATTTTAATTATTCAAGGACTTTTGGAACAATTTTTGCAATTTTTATTTGCATAATTATTTTAATACTAATTAAATATAGAAGACAACTTTTAAGAAGATATAGAAGAAAAAAAACGAAGAATTTGAATTAGAAAATCCCTCAGAAGATGTTTTGATAAATAACTCCATATTTATATATAGTTATATATTGTGAACATAATAGACTCTTTTATGTCATAATTAAATTATCTTTGCTAAATAATCATTTTTAGTTTATAAATAGGAGTAAAACCTTATTCTAATTATTGTTATTTGAGGTAGCTTTAATGTAGGCATTAGTTCAGAGTTGTCTTAAATATCTATTTAAGTGTATTTTTGCTTAATAAAATTTTTAAAAATAAAAGTTCCGTTTTGGAATTTATAACTAGCACGTGCCGTATGTGACGCGCACCTTTATCAGCTTGGAAGACGACCTTTGTTGTATTGTATCGATGGAAGACTATTATTTTTAGCGCTTTCTTATTATAAAAATAAGCATCACACTTAATTTCAGCTTTGCGAATATAATTTTTTTTTTTATTTTTTTTTTGCTTATTTAGGTGGGTGGAAGACGTATTTTGTCGTGAAATTCAGGTGGAAGACGATATTTTCTAAATTTTATTTCTTTAAATTAACGTGTACAAAAAGTTTCATGCATGCGAAAATGATTTTTTAAATAATTTTTTTACTGTAATTGCAACCCTCCTGCAACCCCCTGTCGTACGGGTGCGTCGGAAGACGATCATATTAAAGTTACATATTACTTGCATAACTCATATGAAAAAAATTAAACTTGCGAAAATGGCCCGAAAATTTATGTCGTTACCTCCCGGATTCTTGTTTCTGTGAACACAATACAATCGACATTCATGTCCAGTTCATTCAAAAAAAAAATTGTATTCATCTAAATTTTTATTTAAACTTCTGATATTATTATGTATAATTTTAAAATTGGCAGTATTTCTATTTATCGATAAAACATCATGTAACTCTTTGTTATTATTAAGACTGAAATTTTTTACTTTTTCAACAATAAAATCTTTAATATAGGGATGCATTAAATGTATTCTTAAAAACTAATTACAAATACTGAAATAGATCGAAACAGAACAAATAAAAACTTATCATATCTATCAGACTAAACAGGTCCTAATTGATTTTGACTTTACGAGGTTCACTTCAATAATTGTACTTTGTTTTTAATAGGCTTCTTTATTAAATCGGATGCAGTTTTTGTCGATTTGCTGTGTATAGTAGCCCCGTCAGATCTCAAACGGAATTCCCTAGTAGGTTTGGACTCCTTGATTTCATTCTTTTCTCCTTTCTTAGTTTCCGTCTCAGAGTTAGTTTCCTGAGTAATACGTTTCCCTTCATAAACTGGATCTTCAGTTTCTTCAGTTTCTTTAGGAGAAGGTGTTGATGGTTCACTGGCAGCTTTTCTCTGAGGACGGGGTGAAAAATTAAACTCTGGTTCCAGATTTATCAATTCCCTGGCAGTATATGGTACTTCTCCTATAAAAAGTTTTAATCCCTTTATATAGGTTTTCTTATTTCCATTTCGCGCTATTTTAAGATTTTCTAGTAATATCCTTTTCTCTTTTCTATCTTCTTCTATCAAATCTTTAACTATTTTTATCGATGTTCCTCTGAGATTAGTACAGTTATTCAATATTTCTTTTTTCTTTAGATAAGATATTAAGGACAACAACACTGGGCGAGAATTAGAGTTCTTTTTTCCAATTCTATAGATATTATTGATTTCGCCAGTATGTAAACTTACTTTTAATGTATTATTAGTTAAATTCAATATGGCATTTATTAAAAAATATTGATTTTCTTCTTCCTCCTCAGGTAGACCGTAGATAATTAAGTTATTTATTTTGAGTTTCCTTTCTGATAATTTTAATTTGTTTTTTAATTCGGTGTTTTCTTTTTTAAGGGAGATAACGTTTTGCTTAACTGATTCTACTTCTTGATGTATTACTTCCTTTATTGTTTTGACTTCTTGTTGCACTTCCTCTATTTTACGGGTTATATTATCATTTATTGTTTGTAGTAAAAGGTAAATATCCCCTGTAGAGATTTCTTTAGAAATATTGTTTGTTTCGGATGTTAACATAATTAGTATAATTTGAAGTGCCCTTGTATGTGAATCTGAACTTTCTTTGATATTATATTTATAACAACGGTTTAATTTTGTTGGCTCCTGTTTATTAAAATTACAATTATGCAGCTACTTACAGTTATTACTTTATAATTTTGTTTGCATTTGATTCACTATATTTTTATCTACACTTTGATATAAATCACTAATACTAATTACGAGTTTTTACCACGATTTTAGTAGGTTTTGTCAGACCATGTTTTATTTCAATACATCGCGTTCACTCGATGTCGAAAGAGTGGTATCTGTATCTAAATTATCTAAATTGTTTAGGCATTTCCAAAAATTCCTTGTCAAGAAGATGCGTAAATTCAATTTTAGGAATTTTTCTTCTTGGGTTGAGCCTTTGCCATTTACAAAGATGTTTATCCCATGTCGCTTTCATGCTCTTAAATACATCGAGTGGCTGAAGCTGAAGGGTTGTATGTGGTGGTAATTTTAAAATACATATATCATTATCGAGGCCTTCTTGGATCACATTATACGAAATATGGATGGTATGTCCATCTACAATTAAAAGGATCGGACGTTCCTTTGGTACGTGAGGTAAAAAACATTTTCTAAACCAATTTGCAAATATAATGGGCATCATCCATCCCTTAATCGAAGCGGCTATAGTAATTCTATCTAGTGGTTCAGGTTTTTTAGGTAACATCGACTCTATAACATTTTTTCCCTTGAAAATAGTTAACAAATGCAATTTCTGGCCTAATGCTGAATAACATACTAACACTATGGTTACTATGGTATTTTCTCTCCCGCATGTAAATAAAGTCCTTGTAGCTTTTGTACCCACTGCCCCAAGAACTTTTGTTTTTGAAGGGTCACTGGAGAAGGATGTTTCGTCGCAGTTGAATATTTGTTCAGGTCGATTCTGTAACTTTAAGTTTAAAATTATTTCTTCTAGAAGATCAAAGAAACCGTATATTGTTCAAGGGTTTTGCCTTTTTCTAGCCACCTCTACTCCTTGAGCTTTTTAGAGAGATAGCTTATTTCTTTCACAAAAATTCAAGAACCATTGTTCTCCGGGACGATTATTTTTGAATTTTGTAATATTTAAATTTCTATTCTTCAAATATAGCTGCACTAAGTCCAACGTCTCTTGGCGTGAAAGTTCATATCCCCACTTTTGCATTGTATTTAATGGATAAACTAGTTGCTCTTCCGCTTCTTTAGTTAAAACATCTTTTCCTCCTCCTCCGTGTCCTTCTTTAGCCAAAATACCAGTTCCTCTTGTACCTTTAATATAATGTCGTAAGGTAGACTTGGGAATGTTATCAAATTTTGCTGCGGCGTACATGGATTTATTACTATTTTTAACGTCCTCGGCAGCATGAATAAGAGCTTCTCGGGAATATCGTTCACCATCTGCCCCTTTTTTGGTACGACGCTGGTAATTACGCACCATTATGTCCTGAAAATTTTAGTACTGTCACTTTTATGCACGTTTATTATTTGCAGTAGGATAAAATAAACGTTAAAATATCAAACTAACAGTTACAATACAACTGTATTGCGTAACTGAAACCTACAGAGACCCAGTTACCCGAAAACTTAAGTTCCAGTTGCCTCATCATATCGAATTTACCAAGGCAACTGGAACCTATACAGTCAAACTTGTTTTCATTAATATAACCTTAAAATGTTAAAATAAATTACACTATAGATGCTTTTTCTTATACCAGGCCGATTTTCATGTTAAAAATGTATTATTGTACTTAATGTGATTTTTTTAATACGCCAGTGCCCAACGTTGTTATTCTCATACTAAAAAAATACTTTAACATGAATATTTTCGTTATGATACTCACAGCAAGAACTGCAAAACTAGATCAAACGGAAGCTTTGGGATGATAGCTGTCATGTTACAAAGCGCGGAAAATTTAAAATATTGGATTACAAAATTAGAAGTATCTCTCGAAGTCTTAACCCTTCAATGACATCTAATTTTTTATTATATTCGATGGTTTTCTTAATTGCCGTCTCATCCAACAGAATACATTTTTTGTCTTCGTTTGTCATTGTCTCTGATTTAATTCAAATATTTTTAAATATCACGCAACTTCGTTTGTTTGTTCTATTATATTATTCAGTTTATTTTAAAAGCAGAAACTCATAACCTTGCAAGAATTTAAGATTGTAATTGAGAAGAATTCGCATATCTCATCCCGATCTGTTTATAAGATCATTGAAGTAAAAAAGAGAAAACTTATAATATATATCTATGATACTATGCCAATTGACACTACATCATGGCGACATATTGTGGTGATCGAAAACAGCGCGCGAAAATAAATTTTAATCAGCTCATGGCCAATCATCCATATTCCACACCACAATACGTCATGCGCGAACTCTATCATGTAATATACTTCAAAGTTGACAACAATAAATATATGATTACATCATTTAACGGCAGCATCATAAACTGCGGACAAATTAAAGGCGGAGAGTAATAAAACAGTTAATTTATAAAATATTAATTATATAAGATCTTTTTGAGTTTCAACAAGTACAGACCGAAATAATTTTAAATTTCATTCTCTTGAACTCATAGCGTAAGTTACGAATAAAAGCATTCGCAAGTATTATAAAAATTGCAAAATAATATACGTTAAATAATGTAATTTAATATATTTAATATATTTGTATAGAATAAAAAATTAAGTCATCTTCTTTATTTATTTATTTCAAGTTAAAAAGAAGACATCTTTTAGCAAAAAATTATCACATCATTAAAACAGCAGACAGCAACAAACTCAATAAGTAAGAAAACTAAGGTATTTTCTCCACGTTTCTTTCACAGATAAGTTATATTAATATATTGTGAAACATTTGTTAAATACATTATTTAAAAGACTGATTTATAGATTTTATTATTTTAGTAACTTAGTTGATATTCTTGGGACAATGAATTATTTTAGAAAATATATACCTATTATATAATTATATGTTTGATAATGTTAATTCTTTATTAAAAAGTGACCTTTTTTTAAATTTAATAAACTTTATAATTATTTTTTGACGAAATGGACCATTTTTTTAAAAAAGTGCCACTTATTCTCTTTGCGCATAAAAACATTATGGTATTATTTTTAAAATTGTGTCTTCTAGGATTAAACCAAAATGCCTGTTTATACAAATTTCTTGCTACTGTCAGCGGTTGGCGGAGCAATAACTCTTAAAAATAATACGAAAATCAGTTTTTTTTTACTTTGACATATTTTTAAATCCAATGAAAACAATACAGAGTGGAATAAAAATGGCAACTTTCATTAAGTTTATTCTGCCATCTATTTTAAACTAGCAGAAGCTCCAGCCATCTCTAGCTTAAAGAGACTCAATTAGACTGGCCACCTTGTTATTGTATGAAGAACTAATAGTAGTCTCACCTTAGCGAAATGGATACTACCAATAGATGGCGCTTGTGAATTTGGATAAGTCGATAGTCGTTTGCAGTGGGTGGAGTTGAGAGTCGAGCTGAAATTTTTGTGAATGACGGAGACCGATCGATGGGTTTCTATTTTTAGCTTTTGGATAAAATTTTATTCACTCGTGATTCATTGTTTGTACTATTTTCTATTTATTGTTTGTTATTGTGTGTTAGTGCGTTTACGGGTAGTAGGTATTGTGAATGAGTTGTGTTTATGTTTTATTACTGAATTATTTTACTGTTAATAAAGGACGAGTTCCCAACAAGAGTACCTACATAATTTATATAAAAAAAAATTTAATTATAGTTTAAATTAGTTTTTGGAAAGTGTCAAAAATGTTTACCGAATTCAGTAAAATGATACTGAAAAATAAAAATATTATAGCTATTAAAATTTTTAAATTTTCAACTTTAACCCCCTTCAGTTGTACTATGTCCCATTCCTAATGATATATATTATGATATAAATTAGTTAACTATTAATTATTGTTTTAAAATTAGAATTAAAAATTTGGGTATTTATAACGGTTTTGAAATTAATAAAATAGAAAATATGCTTTTGTTTTTCTTTTCATTTACAGGTTTTATCCCAATGTAATAAAAAAAAACTCTTAAGATGGTTGGTAAAAAATATAAATGAATTCTTAATACTGACACAATGGGTTCTATAAGGATTATTGGTTGGGGTTCGGCTCTGGGTGATAGGGCATTTAGGGTCGAAATATTGAAACAAAACTTGGTATATGGATATATTATTCTTTAAAAATAAAAATCGCTTTAAAAAAATTCACCCCTATCCACCCCTATCTGATACGGTGAGGTTGGCATTCCCAAAAAATCAAGTAAGAACGTTTTAAATAAAACAGTTAAAATCTACCATTTTTTATACATAAAAACCCAAAATTCAATTTTTTTTGATAAAATTTTTCCAAATTTTTTTTGGACTTTCTGAAAAATTTGATAAAGAAATTTAAATTTTGGATTTGTATGTATAAAAAATCGTAGATTTTAACTGTTTTGTTAAAAGTTCTAACTTTATTTATTTGGGGATGCCACCCCACCATATCAGATAGGGGTGGGGAGAGGTGAATTATTTTAATGCAATTTTTATTTTTATGGGATAGTACATCCATATACCAAGTATGGTCTTAATATCTCGACCCTACATGCCCTCGCCCCTAGAGCCAAACCCTAACCGGATTATTTTTGTTGGTATTTCCAATAATCCTGTTGGTTAGGTTTGGAAAATATAAGTAACTTTTATGAATAATTCTTGGTATAGGTAGATTGAAGTGATTATTCTCAGGTGGTTCTTTACTGTTTTATCTAAGTCCAAGCTAAAAATTTGTTTTTAAATATATAACTAATTTTAAATTATTTTTTTAATTTCTTTATTATATTTAATATTCTGATTTTTCTAACAATAATCAATTTAAGATATCTACTTTGATTGAGCCAAAATATTTAATAGGGGAAGTTTTTAAAATTATATAAACATACTGTGTGTCCAAAAAAATATATGAATTTGTCTAAACAGTAACCTTTATTTCTAAAAACAGGAGGACAATGTTACTTGAAAAATGTATTTAGAATTAATATTTACCACCATCAAATCCCAGACCTGGACACAATTTTTATTTTTTAGCAATACGTGAGAAGCAGAAGTGACATTTTTACAAATGAAATTAATTTCAACAAATTTATTTGAGATCATGTACAAGATTATTCATTATTAAAGACACCTTTAATACCTAACCACTATTGCATATTTAAAAAAAGCTTTAAATAAAAGTTTGT